ACTCCGGGCTCTACCCGGCTGAACTCGGGGCCTCGGCACGTCCCAGCCGGCCGCTACGCCGCGTAACGTTTATTTAAAGGAGAACTATGAGGGGAGTTATTTTCCCTCATCCTCATAGTTGGAGCCGACCTGTGACAATGAGACTGTCACAGGTCGGCTCAGTAGATCGGGAACACATACCGGCGCTCGCTCACTTCTCGATCATCTCCCTGCAGAGAGAGAGGTGACTGTCACTCACGGCTCCTTGCAGGGATTCCCCCCTCCGATCCTCCGGTATCCGCTTCAGCGTCTCAGTATACCGCGAGCTGTAGCTCCCTATATACTGAGCTTAGGGTCACGGGACGTATTGTATGTCATCCCGTGACCTATGAACTATGGGGAAAAACACTGACCCACATAGTTCTCTTAATGCGGACAGCGGATTTATCAGTGTGAAGGTGAAACAAGCCACCACACACATTGCAATTCCACCCAGTGCTGGCTCCTCCCCCCATAACGCAGGTAGAGCTGCTGGGAACTGATTGCCGGCCTTCGTTACAGGAACTTCCGCAGCTCAGAAGTAAAAAAAAAATAAGTTTCAATCCTGATGGAAGTTTCATCATCATCCTCCTCCTCATCATCATCTGTCCTTTATAGGTAGGGATGCACTGATACTGGCGTCAGTATGGCCGCCGATACCGAGTACTCACCCAAATGCTCCCATACCTTCCCCGATACCGGAACTTCTGGTTAAAAAGGAAGATTTCCTCTGACCGGCAGTGCTGTAGGGGAACACGGAGCCGGCGTCCCGGGCAATCAGGAAGTTGGGTGGCTATAATGACCCGCCTTCCAGCTTCCCAATTGGCCGGCAAGACAGCTCGATGCTGATTGCGATTGGCTGGAAAACCGGCTTCCCATCAAGCCGGCCAAACAACAATCAGGAATCAGGAATCGGGGCAATCAGGAAGCCGGGCAGCGTGTCATTACCCACCGCCCGGCTTCCTGATTGTCCGGGAAGCCAGCTTCATGCCAGCCTAAGCACCGGTATCGGTACTCGGTATCGGCGAGTACTGAAAGCAAAGTATCGGTACTCGCGCTCCATACCGAATAAAACCGGCAGCGGTGAATCCCTATTTATAAGAGAACTAAAATGATTATTATGGGGGATGAACAATGAAGTTGGGACCTGAAATGCAGACCTGGGAATTGTGTTGGGATGTCACATGACCCTCAAGCAGCCAATCCCCTCTATTCTGGGTGGAGTGGCTCCTTATCATTCTAAGGCTGGCTCTCTCTAACCCGCTTCCGGCTCCGCGATGTCCTTCCCATCAGACGATCGCGGTTTCCATCTTGTACGGGGTTTTGTCCTGAAGGACATCTGGTGGATAAAAGCGGAGCGCCGATCCCTGGGTGGGCTGCCCGGTCTGTAGGGATCAGACATTAACGTGTAGAAAGATCGGCTATCATCGCTGTCAGGATGGGGAAGGAAGAAAAAAAGGAGCGCGCTGTGGATGTGAATTCGGAGAGACGGCACAATGGAACGTAAGTCTTCGGGGGACATTCAAGCGGGTCGCACACAAAGAGAAGACAAATTGAAAGAAGTTAATGAGATTCGGATACTTGTCGGCTGAACAAGGTTCTTCTTGTCATACGCGGACCTGCCGCCCCCCTCCTGCCCTCCTATCTGAACAACCTTAATTAAAGTTAACCGCTTGTGCGCCGGCCCTACAAGACTGAGGCCTTTGTCCCCGGCAGAAACCGGATACCTCCAGAGATGGCCGCTTGGGCTGCGGACCAAGAGGGGAATGAAAGCGGCGGCCCGTCGCGGCCCGACAGGTGGGAAGTGGAGAGGAGGATAGAACACGGCTCTGTGTGTCGCCTTTCATCGCCGGCCCCGCCACTCCTCTCCATCGCTCCCCTCCTACCGTACTTAAGAGCAGTCACAAGAGAACAGCGCCATGTAGGCGCCGGAGGGTGCACATGGCTGTGGAAACACGCACACACGTCGGTTGGCTGTGATGAGGTCACATGGGTAGGATATGGCCCAGAGTTCATGTTCATGGAAATGATGACCGAGGGAGGTCACAATAGGGCGGCCCCTGTGGGCACCCGATGGAAGAGGGAATGTAGGGCCACATAAGCAGGCGGGTGGAGTGACTGAGTGATGGAGACGGAGGTATAGGAGGGTAAAACATGCTATAGAGAGGCTGCTATATATCAGCAGAGAGGTAGGTACAGGTAAGTAGACAGGATCACGGAGGGGGTAAGACGGGCCATGTAAAGGTAGGTAAGGCGGTAGACAACGCTTTAGAGCTGCAGATGTAGATGGAGTCCTAGAGAGGTAGGTACGGGTAGGTAGGTAGACGGCATCATACAGAGACAGGTATAGGTAGGTTGACAAAGCTGAGATGCAGATACAGGTGGGGAAAATAGGGCACAGAGGGGCAAGTATAGATTGGTAGAAAGATGTAGGTAGAGAGGGACGAGTAGGTAGAGAGGCGGGGGACGAGTAGGTAGAGAGGCGGGGGACGGGCA